CCCACCCAGATGCTTATTTACAACAAGTAAATACATGGTGATTGTCACTGTAATCAGGCTTGCTCTTCCCGTCCTCAAATACCCACGTTCTCATGAAGAATCCTATGCTGTCCCCGTCACAGCCAAAGCACAGGAACAAGCCTGCCTGGGATGCCATGTCCACATGCCAGTTCTCCCAGCAGGACAGAGTGTTCAGATCAACTAATGCTTCTGTCCAAAGACCAGGGCAAACCCCTGCTTGTTTCTCAACGCGAAGGAAGAGCATCTGAAGTAAACACATTCCACGTCTGACCAGTCAAGTCCTACAGACAGCCCTGGCATGAGCTGTAAACAATTTTGACCTTGAAATGACAAATACATTTTTATCTACCTCCCTCTCAGCTGTGTCTCTTTCCCTCCTCCTCCCTCTCTCTCCCCCCCCCTCTCTCCAACTATTCATCCTTCTATCTTCCTGTGTTTTTGTCTTCTATCCACAATCTATCCAATAATTCAGGAAGAAATTTGGAGCACAGCTACTTAGTCAACCGACTGGGAGAGATTTGTATTTGATCCCGGTCTCAGGAAGGTTGATCCAACAGGATGGAAATTCTCCACCAGCATCATTACTATCAAGTGAAGTCTTGCTGGTAATTATTACAATAAGGACGGAACATACATTGAGAACTTCCAGAAATCTGAGCTGGGTTTAGAAGAGGCCGCTGCATCAGGAATATAATTTCTGCTATCACAGGGTTAAAAGTAGAGAGTATTGGAAGGATGCTTATTTGTATTTTATTGATGTTTTTCAAAGTCATTTAACTGTGTGGATCATCACAAATGACAGCTAGCATTAAGAAGGACAGGAATCCCAGAATGTTTATCGTGCTCATGGAAACCTATACTTAGACCAAGAAGCAGCTGTGTGAACAGAACAAGGGAACACTTCACGGTTTAAAATCAGGAAAGCTGTGTCCGAGATGTATACTTTCTCCATCCTATTCAATCCAAGTTATTCCAGAAGCCGGACTCTCTGAAGAACAACACACCATCAGGGTTGGAAGGAGACTCATCAACAATCTGAGTTATGCAGATGACACAGCCCTGCTCGCTGAAAGTGAGGAAGACCTGAAGTGCTTGCTGCAGAAGATCAAACACTGCAGCCTTCAATATGAACTGAAGCTCCAAGTCAAGAAAACAAAACTCCTCACCACGGGACCAATGAGCGACATCAGGATGTAAGGACAAGAGACGGAAACTGTCAAAGATTTCCTTGTACGTGGATCCATGATCAACACCAAGGGTAAGAGGAGTCAAGTGAATCTGTCAAGGACCTTTCAAAATTCAAGGACGTCACCTTGAAAACCAAGGTGCAGCTGACCTTAGCCACAGTCTTTTCAATTACTTCCTATGCACGTAAAGTTGGGCAATGCACACGGATGACAGACAGAAGTGGCGTCTCTGAGTTCCCGTGCTGGAGCAGAGGGATGGACATTCCATGGGCTGTCAAGTGAGCATCAGGGCTGCCTTGGAGGAAATGCAAGCATTGTGCTCGTTATGGGCAGCGGTGCTGGGGCTTCCTCTCACACACTGTGGTCATGTGGTCAGAGGGGGCAGCCTTTGGAAAAGGACATCACGCTGTGAAAAGTGAGGGCCAGAGAAAGAGCAGGGGACCATCAACAAGGCAGGATGGCAGAGTGACTATAACAACGTGTTCCTGTAGATCAGAGATGAGGACAGGGCAAGAGGTAGAACTGCTGTTCACAGGGTCGCTAGGAGTCGTGGGTGACTTGATGGCACCAAACAACAACACTATCTACCATGCATCTAAATATCTACCCGTGCTCACCTATCACCTCTCTTCAATCAACCAACCAATCCATCCATCCATCTATCCATCCATCCATCCATCCATCCATCCATCCATCCACCTACCACATTTTTAGCAGTCCTTGGATGATGCAAAAGTTGACATACTTGACTGATAACTAAAATGCTGGGTGTTCGAGTTAGCCTGAGGGCCGGTGAAGACAGGCCCAGTGCTCTCCTTCCAGGGTGCACAACCATGGCAGGCTGTCCGGAACACGGACGTCTGACACATGGCACCACGGGGCAGAATCACGTGAGGGTAACTGGTGGCTTGGTTGACCTATTTTTAAATTCAAATTTGATCCTCTCCTGCCCCCTTTACAGAACCATTTCAACGACACGTTCCTCCTGCCCATTCTCTCCCCTGTGTTCCATACAGAATGTCAGTGGGTTTCCAGGGTGACACTCACGCAACAGCCTGGGTGAAGAGGAAGCATGCTCCCAAGGGCCCCACCTCTGCCGAGGACCCTCACTCTCCTGCGTCTCCACTAGTGGCCTTCTGGCGAGCACCCTTGTGGAGTGGACTCTGTGACCCCATGCTGGAGGACAAAGGATATGGTATTTCATCATATTTTAGAAGAAAAATAGCTACCTTTCCAGAGTGCTAAAACCCCACAAAGCCAGTCTAGAGACTAAGGCGTGCCTGATCCAGGCCATGATCCTCTCAATTTTTCAGACAGCTGGATAATGACTACTGATGACAGAAGAAGAATCGATGTCTTTGAGTTGTGGTGCTGGAAAAGAGTCTTGAACCTACCGTGGACCGCCAGGAGAACATATAGGTCTGTCCTAGAGAGGGTGAAACCATGCTACTCCTTGGAGGCTTGGATTTTGAAACTCTGGCTCACATACTTTGGGCATGTGACCAGGAGGGACCGGTCCTTGGAGAAGGACATCATACTCGGAAGGGTGGCAGCTTAGTGCAGGAGAAGACCCTGGATGAGATGGACACAGTTACTGTGGAAACGGGTCAAGTGTGTCAGAGACAGTGAGGCTGGCTCAGGAGAGAGCAGGGTTCAGGCTGTTGATCAGAGAGGGTCGCTATGAGTTGAATTGACTCAACAGCACATAACAACACACAGTAGACGTTAGTTTACACGCTTTTTGGTTTTTAAAGGACATTCTCTAGAAAGGGAAGAGACAGCACACTCACTGAGGGGAAAATGGAAATCATATATTTTTGGCTAAGGGCCTAATATCCAAAACTCTTCCTACTTACTAACAAAATGGCAAAGAACTCCATCAGAAGGCGTTTCCGAAGGATACATGGAAAGAGTCAACACATACATGAAAAGATGCTCAACATCACTCATCGTCAAACCCAATCCAGCCTGGGAAACCCACCGCCTTCTGATCGTTCTAACGCTCTGTCTGATTTCTAAGGCTGGAAATCTTTACGGGAGACAGGCTTCACCCAACGACACTGCTGCTGTATCCCAATCACTGAGGTTTGGGTTCGCAGCTCAGCCCAGGACACGCTACTCCACTAGCACTCCCGAAGGCCACCCAGGTACTGTCAGGCCAGGTTCAAGGCCGCCCGTCAGTGGATTTCAGAGGCGTATCTTAGAGGAGGAAGCAGGACTGGCATCTACTTCCTAACCAGTTATAGAACAGGGTTCAGATCTTTTGTTCATTCTCTGAGTGGTGTTCGACTCAACGACACTTAACAACTACAATCACCACCACATCTTAAAGGAAGCTGACCCACCTTTCTCCCGCAGAGAGGGGGTTCATTTCTACTGTCGATCCCTCAGTGAGCACTCGACGCTTCACTCCCTGAGACACCAGAGCACCTTCATTCGTCATTTTGCTGGTGTTGAGACCGTCAAGTTGGAACCCAGCCACAGTTGACAGTCCTGAGGGTTTTCAGAGGCTGTAAGTCTTGCAGGAGATGTCCACCTTCCTATCATGGATCAGATGGTGGGTTCAGACTGCGCCCCTTTGAGCTGGGAGCACTATTCCTTACCACCAGGCCACCCAAGCCCCCTACTAGTCATCTGTTGTTGTGTTGCTGCTCACCACGGAGCCAAAACCAACCCAACGCTGACCGTTCAGAATCATATGGGAGGAAACTGCCCATCTTTCTCCCAGGAAGTAGCCAGTGGATTCGAAGCACAAGCCTTTGTGTCGGCAGTGCGATTCCTTACCTCTGACCCACCAGAGTTCCCTGATTAGTCACCCAAGAAATGCAATTCAAAGGCACAGGAGACGCCATACTCACCCACCAGGATGACTGTGATTAGAACGAACCAACCAGCAAACACAAATTTAAAACACCCGTGCTGCAGAGGACGCGGAGGGTTTCTGCTGGCGACGGACAACAATTCTGTGGTTCTTCACAAACACACAATCCCCACCCCTAGTTGGAGCAGTCAACTTGGGAAAAACAGCTCTCTTTAACTTCCAGGATCTCTTAGATGTTAACATGTAGGACACACCACACTGGGACATTTCTGGTTGAAAAAAATACAATATGACAAAACATTTTCACAAAGCTCTTCTCAGCCTTTATCTTGAATGAACAGACCAAAAAGAGAAGACTGGTACAAAAAGCTGCAGCATATAGGTCCTTTACGAAAAGTGCTAAGGGCTCCCGCCAACGAGTCTCTTGTCTTACATCCTGAAAGCTGGCAGGAGTGTTGACACCCTGGGCCTGGGCCCGGGCCTGTCTCACTGCCTCAGGAAGGTCTCCCAACAAGGGAGGTGCCGCTCCTCACTCACAGGGAAGGATGGGGGGCGCCATCCGCCAACCCCGAAATGCCACGTGTCACTGGTCAGACTCCAAAGCCCAGCCTCTCCTTTCCAGCGGAATTTTGGAAAGACAGTGTATTTAATATGCATGTGAAGGAGGCGTGTTTGTTTTTCTTCTGTCTTAACAAGTGTGCTTGTTACTTTAACGAGGTTCCCAGCAGTTGTTTGGCTGGTTTTAATGAGAAGCTGTCCTCACTGGAAGGAATTGTGGTAAATTCAGTGCTCATTCATTCCCATCAACCGCCCCAATCAAACCAAGCTCCTCCTCCTGTCGGATCATCACGCCATTGATAGAAACCCGGTGATTACAGGGCGCAGCTCCGCTCCGCTTCCACGATTTGCATTATTCACTTACTGCTCAGGGACGAACAGGAAACACGTGCAGTAACGCAGACGATGACACAATGCTGGACGCTCAGGTGGAGAGTAAGAAGCGCCACGGGTCACTTCATACAGTCTGCTCGGACGGGCTCCCTTCAAAGGTGTCTGGGACCCTCGGCTCCAGGCACGCGACTCTACTCAAGCAGCTACTAACTAAACCGTTCAGAGTTCTGAGAGGAGCCCTACAGGTGCACCTGCTGATCAAAGGATCGGTGGGTGGTTCAAAGCCAGGAGCTGTTTGAGAGAGGAAAGATGAGACCATCCCCCATCTACTTCCCTGAACTACAGCTTTGGAAGCCCCAGGGCCAGGCCTTCTGTGCCGGAGGGCTGATCCCGGTCTGCGTGAACTCAGTGGCAGTGGGCTTGGTTTTGGGGGGAGGGTACTGTCTGGGGGCCACAGGGCATATACAATTCAGAAGGTTCAATCAGTTGACCCCTCCACTAATCCAAAGGTTTGAACTCCCCCCTTAGTACGAGCCGGTGACGGTTTCAGAGCGGCCAACAGCCACCGAATCCTACAGAGGCGTGAGCTGCAGCCACCAGGGCGGGCTGCTATTTGGTTTCTCTTTTCTGGCACAGCCTCCCAGGCTTGTCCCCCCAAGTGCCCTCTGACAATGTGGCATTCCCGAGTTGGCTGGGGGGCTGGCATGAGTCTGTGCGGACTCTGAGGGTCCATCTCATCCCCGGCGGGCTGCGGGCTTTCTAACACGCCGTGAATGAACACAGAAGTCCACGAAGATTACTTACGGACACATTCTCAACAAGAGACGCAGATGGGTACCGCCAAGCTCTTGTCTGGTGGGCTTCACACGGAAGCACATCGCCACGGAGGGGATGGTGGGAAACGAGGTGAAAACATGGACTTTGCCAAAGGGATCTGTTAGCCTCTGTGATGGTTAACATTGTGCATGGCTGTGATCCTCGGCGCAATAAAACACTGTTATACATAATTTAACTGCGTTCTATGTGTTAAAGGGCTCTGCCCCAGGCACTATTTGGTTAAGCAATAGGCTTTTAGCCCACAGCTATTTGCCAATGAACTCAGAAACAGCCAATCAACTTAGACTTGCACAAGAGTAACAAGCAGTCAGGATGCATTCATGATATCTGGTGATGGGAAGGCAAAAGTGGGAAACAGTGAACAAGGAACAGTAGTTGGAAAATACGGGTTTGGTTATAGAAATGAGGCTGGAAACAGAGTGATTAAGATTTGTATTTGCCATGATTTATTCATTACAAATGCCTTTCTTAAAAGACACAAATGAAAACTTGACACGTGAATCTCACCTCACCGGCTGCACAATAAACAGACTGACTACATTTGTGGAATAAATTGTCGGAGAAGCTCAATATCAGCAGTCAAAACTAGGCCGGGGCAGACTGTGGGTCAGATCACCAATGACTCATATGCAAATTCAAATTGAGGTCAAAGAAAATTAAAATAAGTCCATAGAAATCAAGATATGATTTCAAATCCCTTCCATCTGAATTTCAAGATCAGCTTAAGAACAGTTTTGAAACAATCAATGTAATTCATCATATTAACAAAGCAAAGAAAAAGAACCACAGGATCCTATCAACTGATGCAGAAAAGGCCTTTGACAAAATCCAACACCCTTTCCTGATGAAAACACTCAACAAAATAGGATTAGAGGGGAATTTCTTCAACATAGTAAAAAGTATTTATGAAAAGCCAAGAGCCAACATCGTTCTCAACTGAGAGAGGTTAAAGGCATTCTCTTTAAGAACAGGAACTAGGCAAGGATGCCCACTCTCACCTCTCTTATTCAATATTGTATTGGAAGTCTTGGCAGTAGCAATAAGACAAGAGAAGGAAATAAGAGGTATCCAAATTGGCAAAGAGGAGGTAAAATTATCTCTCTATG